TTAAGAGTTTCTGTTACAAAAATACTGACATTTTAAACACATGGCAAATTGTTTAAGATCTATTCAAGTTTTAATCAGAATTAATGAAAAAAAATCTAATAATCATGATTAATAATAAATCCTTCTTCTAGTAAGACAATATATCACTGAATATATCATTATTAGGCATGGGTCATTGTTTTTGAGGATTAGATTTAGCATCTAATGTCCATTTAATGTTTGGTTGATAGAGAAAAAATGTAAATCTTCCTTTCATTGCTGAGTATGTTATTACGCACATGCAAAACAGAACCTTTTGTTACACAGCCAAGGTTGGTGGTAATTTTTGTTGGCACAGCTCACTACTGTAAGGGACGTGACAATAGTCAATTAACATTTATAGACAGAATAAATGCAAGACACAAACAACACAAGAGAGAGGAGTAAATGCAAGGTATAGAATAAATATGATACAATACTGACAAAAAGTGGCATGAATCTATTTACCCCACCCATATTTGCTCTGTTTTTGCTTATCCATAAGAATTGTGTCTGATATCCAAGCCAATTTTGCATAATACAAAGTACAACTTGTCTAAACACACAGTTTTTGAATTAGCACTTGATTTATTGAAGGAAAATAATTCATACTTGGTTGTACGACCTTTAGCAGCAACTACAATCAAACTCTTGTGGTAAGTGGAGCTCAGTCATTAGCATTACAGCGGAGAAATTTTGCCCCACTCTTCCACAGAATTGTATTAATTCAGCCACATTGGTGTCACGTTACGTACTGGGGAAGCAGTACAGCAGCCGTGAGGTCAGGAAAACGGGGATTTATTCAGAGGATATAACCAAAAACACAGAACAACACACAAGACTGGTGACAATGACCGGACAGGGATAAGACTAACTTGGAAGCACTTCAATAAATAGACTCAATTAAACAAGACTAGAAACAGCTGGTATCACAGGGATTCCTTGCATGGTTAACGAGGGGGCGTGGCAAAGAGGAGCAGCACGATCGGGACGTAACAATTGGATTGCTTTTTTCAGCCATGCAGAGGGGGACTTGCTCTTGTGCGTCAGATCGTTGTCTTGCTTATAACTCCATTGTGGTGGACAGATCATGGGCTGATGACCAGACATTTTGCTTCAGTACTTTCTAGCAGACAACTGAATTTATGCGTTCCACAATTATGACAAGTCGCCCAGACCCTGACGCAGCAAAGCATGCCCACACCGTCACACTACCTCCAGCACATCTGACTGTGGGCATGATGTTCTTTCTGTGGAATAGCATGTTGGCTTTACATCAGATGTAGTAGAATCCATGTCTTCTAAGTAATCCCACTTTTTACTCATGAGTCCTCAGAATGTTCTCTCAAATGTCTTAGGGGTAATCAAGGTGTTTGTGGCAAATGTTAGATGAGCCTTTACGTTCCTCTTGTTTATCAGAGGTTTTTGCCTTGGAACTCTCCCACAGACACAATTTTTGCCAGGGGTATAATCATGGAATCATGAATACAAGCATTAACTAACCTGAGAGAGGCCTGCAGTTTCTTAGATGTTCATCTGGGCTCTGCTGTGACTTCCTTGATGAGTTTTCCATGTGCTGTTGGAGTACTTCTGCTAGGCCAACCTCTCCTGGACAAAGCTGCTACTATTTCGAGTCTTTTTTTCCCTCATTTGGAGATGATGGCTGTCAGGCTGGTTTACTGGAATGCAAGACTTTTATAGAGGACTTTGTACCCCTTTCCCAACCAATATACTTCAATAATTTTCATTCTCGGATCTGTAGGAAGTTCTTTTGATTAAAACAGGGTGTAGTGCCCCTTGAGTCCCTTTATCCAGCTCCACATTGCTGGAATGGTTCTATATAAGTGACATGTAGATGCAACAGGGATGGCGTCAGTCAAGCTTGGGTGTGTCTCATTTAATTTAACTCATTACTGTTTAGATTTCATGCATTAGTTGACTGAGTGACTAAGGGAGGTAATTGCTTTGAATCACATGGTCATTTAGAAGCAGTGGGCTTTTTCCAAACTAGCTCTTATAGCTGTTCTCTACTCACATGGAGGGTCCACCACATCGGCTGCCATTCCAAACCGATTAAGCATGAAAGGCAGACTACTGAGGCCCTCCAACACAGAGCTGACACTGATGCTGACTTACTGACCACGTGCATTACCTTTTACGTTCGTTGTGGAAGACGTTCCATACAAAGAAGTTCTGTGCGATTATGTAACAAACATTTACTCATCAACAACTTAAACTAAACTAAGATTAGACATTTAATATTGTTACACAGACATTAACAGCTTAAAGTTTGTATTGTATTTCAAATCAAATATACCTTTTCCTAGTTTAGAAAACAAAAGTTGTGTTTGGATGATTGTAACATTATATTGCTTGTGGGAGTTTCACTTACATAAAAATGTTCTGAGGGCAGAATGGAAAATGATTGGTTCATAGGGACAGCCAAACAGATTGGTTATCTCTCTGAACCAATCATTTTTCGTTCTATTCTCAGAACATTTTTGTGTAAGTAAAACTCCCACGAGCTGTTATATTTACAGGAACTGTGGGAAAAACCAAACAGCTCATAAACATCAGAATGAAGAGTGACCTCAGGTTTACCAAAAAAGGAAATGGCACCAAAGAAGCTTGAGTGTAAAGTTTATTTTTGTAGGCCTACTGTGGCGGGAATCGTATCGATTTGCTGCCTCACTGCCCACATTATGCAGCCCATTAGTGCTCTCTATAAAAGATGAAGTTTCTGATTCTGACCAATCCATTTGCTTATGTGATTTTCTTCTGACGTATTGCTTAACGGGTTAATTATTAAGAAATTAGACCTTGAGGGTGTTGTGTCACCCAAACAAGGGTCAAAGAAATGGGAGAATCTCAAAAAGAAATACTAGGTAAATTTGTTGTCACAGAACGAACATACTACTGTCTCAAATACTGCAGTGAGGTTTCTAATATGCCACTGTTTGCACTAGGAGCTAAGAAGGTCTCCCACTGGGTCTGAAACAGAGCAGGGACAGGAAACACCCTCCACCTGGACATTTTATCTTGCCATGCATGGGACAATGAGGCGTAAGCCATCCGTGTCTCCTCCTGTCCTCTTTGCCTCATGTATGTCAAACCCCACCAACCTCACAGGTCCCTCTAATGATTCCAGCACCATCCCAGCCCCACCCCAACCCATCCCAGCCCCATCCCATCCTAGCACCATCCCAGCCCCATTTCATGCTAGCACCCTTCCCAGGCCCATCCCATCCCAACCCATCCCAGCCCCATCCCATCCTAGCACCATCCCAGCCCCATTTCATGCTAGCACCCTTCCCAGGCCCATCCCATCCCAACCCTTCCCAGGCCCATCCCATCCTAGCACCATCCCAGCCCCATCCCAACCCTTCCCAGGCCCATCCTATCCAGCACCATCCCAACCTGCACCATCCCAGCCCCATCCAGCACCATAACAACCTGCAACATCCCATCCAGTACCATCCCATCCAGTACCATCCCAGCCCCATCCCATCCAGTACCATCCCAGTCCCATCCCATCCAGCACCATCAAATCCAGTAGCATCCCAGCCCCATCCTATCCAGCTCCAGCCCCATCTGATCGTGGTTCCCTCCCCAGCACATCCACAGCATCCTCACCTGAACCACAACCTGCCAAAAAACCCAAATCACCACAGAAGGGTTTGCCTTTGATTGTTTGCAAAAAGAATCCGAATGGAAGCATGACACCAGTGAATAACAAAACGGAAAAATTTATAAGTTTATTTGAAAAAAATGGTGGACAAAATGTGATTGTTTTTTAGTTTGACTGATTTTTTTATTTGGTCCTGTTTGTTTGGGTGGAAGTCTATAATATGATTAAATGTAGTGATATTATTTATGTTGACTATTCATAACTGTTGTGTTTCTTCTGTGATGGAGGGGTGGGTTCAGGAAGTGGATTAATTCATTCTGTATGGAGAAATAATAGCTGAAATGAACTATGATAATCCCTTTGTATATTATTGAATCTCCAGAAATGGGGAGGTTCATAACCTCATGTTATATCTCAATTAGTGGCATCTTTTCCAAATCACTGCATAACAAGTGGTCTTTAACAAGTGGTCTGAAAATGGGTAATTTTCACCTGTACAAAAGGATCACTATGCAAGGAGTCTACTGATGTGCTCTATACCCAAAAAAATAATCTGTTGCAATTCTAAAAGGAACTATTTTTCAACATGTGAGAGGTCTATGAAGGGCAACAACTGCAACCAGCATTTCAAATAAATTATTGTGTATCAAATGTAATAAATGCAGTGTACAACAACAATCAGGCCTGTCAATTGCATTTGTATTTGTTTTGTTTGTATTTGTTTTGTTTTGTTTCTAGTAACACAGGAGTGGTGTCAGTTGACCATGAGGTTATGATGTTTGATTTTGTTTATGGAGCTAAGTTCAAAGGCCCCACTTGGCATGCATGTTTGGCAGGATGATTTGACACAGTTTGAGGATACCCTTGTTGTAGGACGAACAATTTAGCAGTGGTAAAGACAAAAATACAGGTTTATTTGGCCAGCTTGTGCAGTTTTAGTTGGCTGTTGTGGAAATAAACAAAATCACGACTGCTTCATTTTTGGACGAAATATGAACTGCACAGCACTCAGTTACAAACAAAACACATGTGGACAAAATTCGCAAATGATCATGTTCATTCATCTGATCTGGCAAAAACACTGGTGTAGACAGGCAGGCAGCAATCCTGTCCCTAATGTGGTTTCCAGGACATTCATGGCCACCTGCACCAATGGGTGACTCATTCTGGGAGGTCTGCATTTGCTCACATGAAAAAAGTTTGTAGTTCCTATGGTCTACATGGTGTTGGTTTTCTAGAGCTGTTGTCCGGATGTAGCATCCATCAATAGTACCAGCAGCAGAAGGAAAAGCATGACTCCGTGCAAGCTGATGAAGCCTTAGCCAATGGTTAGCTCATCTGGCGATGTCATCTACACAATTTAATTATTAATCTACAAGAAATTAATAGAATGTACGAAAGAAGAATACTGCGTGATGGGTGTTAAATAAAAAATACATGATTTACAGGACCCAGGATCAGTGGCCCGCGTCTTCCTGGAAACGGTTGCTAACAACAGATACCGCAGCTAGGAGGCTGGCGAGTTTAACTCATGCTAAACTTCTTAATTGCATAGATAACTAACACCAAGAGATTCGCAAGGAAGGAAAAAAGGAACGTGTTTGATTCTCACCGGTAATGCTGTTAAACTTGCTACTACGTTACATTAGGTTAATATACATTTCTGTAGTTAACCGTATCTGCGGGTTTTCTATCGCCGAAGTTCGTCAGGATGACAGCTAGTTTAGCTAGGAAAGATACATAATGAGGTTATTAAATAGTGTCATGATTCTCTTTTCGGCTGATGCATAGCTGGCGACAATGCTAGGCTGCTTGTGCGGTGAGCGCGTCTGTATTGCGGGAGAAACGCCGCACGGTTTGTCCGACCCCGAAGTGCACCGTTCGCCTCATGTCTAATACAGGAGGAAATCCTCTGGTGCTGATAACAGACACCACAATGGAGAACAGAGGGACAACAGCCATGGTAGTTATAATTTAATAATACGAATCGAAAAAAGGTTGCTTTCTTTTAAAGTACATACTTGCATTTATTTAAACTTGTATAACATTAACAAATTTGAAATTATCTCTGCTTTTCCACACTTCTCTCAACTCGAAGACGTTAATACTTTTGCCTGTTAATTCTGGAGCAATGTATCGTCCTTCAGTGAAGGTATAGTAAAGTACAATATGCCCTGGGACTTGATCTGGTAACCTTGTTATGCGATACTGATCGTAACCATCTTGCTGTTTGCTGCCTGTATTCAAGTAGGGCAGGAAAAAAGTACAGACAACATCCTACAGTAGGTGTTTATGCTGTTGTGCTAATGTCCATGTCGCCTCTCAGTAATAATTTCAGCGCCATGCCACGTGGAAGGTCAGCAGTGAGCATCCACTCCGACAGCAGCGATGTGGACATCGATGCCGTTGGTATGTCTCGCCCTTTCACACTTCCCCTATTCCGCGTGGCGTGCCGGTGGTGGGCACTGACAGCGTCCGTATGTCGTGCGGCACAGCGGACTCGGAGATGGCCAAACTCCTCAGGCAGTTCCGGATCATGGAGGGAGATCGACAGGCGTATGGTGTTCAGGCGCAGGAGCTGATTCGGCGGCAGCGGTGAGTGTCACCTGGGCCCCGGCACAGCAGTCATGGGTGACTCAACCAGCTCCTACTAACTATTTATTACTCGCTGCCCATCTGTGTGTCTTGACTCATCTCTGACTGTCTCTGTGTGTGAGATGCAGGCTGGAGATCGAGAAGCTGCAGAAAGAGCAGCAGGACCTACAGCACAGCCTGCGTGCGTCGGAGAGCCTGTCCCAGCGGCAGCGAGATACCGCTGCTGCGCAGGCCATGCGCGGCCTGCTGGAACGCTGCGATGGGGTGGATGCACAGCTGGAGCAGGAGAGGCAGAGGCTGGCACAGATGGAGCAAGAGGTGCCCATATACAGAGCACAGGGAAAGGCAGAACAGTCTGGGCACGCTGGCACAGAGTGCAGTGAAAGGCAGAACAGACAGGCACACTGACACAGGGCACAGAGAAAGACAGAACAGATGGGCATGCAAGCACAGAGAAAGACAGGACAGACAGGCATGCTGGTACAGAACACAGAGGAAGGCAGAACAGAGGCACACTGGCACAGGGCACAGAGCACAGATACAGATAGAATAGATAGGCACACTGGCACAGAGCACAGAGAAAGACAGAACAGACAGGCATGCTGGTACAGAACACAGAGGAAGGCAGAACAGAGGCACACTGGCACAGAGCACAGAGAAAGACAGAACAGACAGGCATGCTGGTACAGGGCACAGAGAACACACAGATGAACACAGAGAACAGATAATTTTAAAAGCATACATCTGTACACACAGGCATACCATACATCATACCACACACATGCATTTAAATATCACCTTTACGTAATAATGTACGAGTGTCAGTATAACCATTTTCCAGCAGTCCAAGTTAACTGCCACATTGGGTGTCTGGTGTTCTACCACGTTTTGACCATGCTTTCCTCTCATTCGTTTATTAGTCATATGTTTTCATACAGTTTAGTATCAATATTTAAACCTGGTGCATTTCCTCATGGTGAAGCAGATGTCAGTATGTTATGAAGAATGAGTCACATGGTCCTTTTGATGCTGTTTTGTTGGGTGGGGGGGGGGGCATTGGGTAGGTTGTCAGTACTGAGAGGCAGCTAGCAGCCGTGAGGAGATCAGGGAACTCTGCAGATCCTCAGCTGAGATCAAAGGCATACCAGAAAGAGAAGGTCACACGGACCCTGGAGAACAAGCTGGACCGAGTGAGTCCCGCAAGAAGCACAATAGTGGAGTGGTTGACAGAGGTCACCTGTGGCCAAAGGTCATGCCCCTGTGCACCTCACCCCCCATACAGGCCCTCGTCCGGTTCAATGAGCAGCTGGCCAAAAATACACAGCTGAGAGCAGAGCTGGAGACCCTACATGTGGAGCGAATCCGATTCCAGCAGCTGCAGCGCAAGCTGGACAAGGTCAGAGGTCACGCAGACACCTGCACGCGGCGGGATGGAGATGCATGTGGGGGCTCCAGGGGAGGTCTGAGCTCACACAGGCTGTTTTGCCTGTTTCAGGAGCTGCGGGACATCCACAGGGACATAGGGGAGGTGATCAACCAGTCCACCAATGCCTATGATTCCAGGTAAGGTGCCACCAGCTGTCTGGGTGTGGCTGGTTCTCGCACACAAGGAAGAGCAAAGACCGCATTCACACACAGGCCTGCTTCCACTGCCCGTCCACTCCAGGGTGGAGGCGCAGTCCAAGATGGTCATTCTGAAGGAGAAGGCGGTAAGGGATCTGACCCAGTACAGCGCAGAGATGAAGGAACTGGAGAGGAACATGGCCCACGAGCAGGACTTGAAGGTCTTCATGAGCACAAAGAGCAATGAGAGGAACATGCAGGAAGGAGGTCTGAGGCCTGGCCGTCGTCAAGGTAACCGGGCACAGATCTGTAAATGTGCAGCTGCTTTTTGGCCGTCAATCATTCATACTAAGTTACCCTGCAGAGTTACTTCATCATCAGACCGCCTCCATTATGTAAGGAAAGGCAGCTCAAATACAAATTAAGGACAGTTCTTCACCCCCTTTATACCCCAAAAGACCCTCCCCACCAAGGTGCTGTGTGTAGGTGTTGTGAGTGAATTTACATATAAAGAGTGACCCCCTGGACTGTGAGGAGCCTGGGGCAGGGATGGGGCAGGACAGGAGGGAGACTTTCTGATCATTGTAATTCATTTGTCTTCCTTATCACCCTAGTGGTCCCAGACTTCCCCCATGATCATAACTTGCTAACATTGTCTGTATTCAAATGACCAACCAAGACCATTGAGGCATCTTTACTAATTTTTCTTACAATTAGCTTGCAGAAACTGTATTTTGACAAGTGCAGGAGTTGAGTACAGTGGAGGATGATGGGTCAGGTGCAGATGAAAGTGGAAACTGTGCATCCCCCCCCCCCAAACCCATAGGGTCAGAACCGCAGGAGCAAAGGCGGGCGGATTCAAGGGAGCTGACCATGGACTCTTTGGAGGAGATGTTCCACAAGATCCACAGTGTGACAGGAGAGGAGGATCTGGAGCTACTGGTCACCAAGTTTATCCAGGGTGAATATTGAACACACACACACACACACACACACAGACACAGATTTGCAAACTAATACGCAGAGATACTACTACTTTAACTAAAGATTATAAGGGGACATCCATAGATTCCTTATCTTTTTGAATGTTTAAGTTTTTCATCAGTTATGGAAGCAGATTCTCGGTTAATTAATGAAGTACTATTGTTTTGCCCTGTCGTCTGTGGCATGTTTATCGTAAGACAGCAATCTAAGATTTACGTTAAACCTGATCACAGCTGAAGGGCTTGTAGCTAATACTGAAATGGCCGAGGTCCACTGTGAGATAGTAACATGCATGTCTTCCGTACGGATGCTCAGTCGAGGACCGCAACTTTGCCCTCTTCAATTACATCAACGAGCAAAACAATGAGGTGGAAGCTCTGCGGGACCAGATCGGCCAGGTCAGTCAGCCATCTCATCGTTATTTGCTTGCTCAGCCAGTAGGTGGCATGGCGGTTAGGGGTGCGAGTCCCAGAAGGGGCACACCACTCATGCATTGCAGGGCTACTAACCCAGCAGAGTAAATGGGTAAAACCTCAAAGTTACGTGCTGTAAATGCTGTGTCAGGTTCAGCGGGAGATGGAAGAGTTACAGGCAGAGGGGCGGATGCAGGAAGCGAAACGCCACAGTCACATGAGGGCCTTCGAGACAAAGCTGCGTGAAGCAGAATCACAAGCACAGGCCTTTGAGAGCCAGGCCACAGCAGCCAGCAAGGTTCTGGACCAGCTCAAGACAGGTACACACAGCTGAGACAGCATAAAAGCAGACGTATTAACCCTGTTTAAAAGCTTACATAAACTGCACACACCCACAGTCACATCTAATTGGATAATTATCCTGTCAATCATTAATGTCAGAGTGTGTGTCATGTGCTGTAGGGGTGTGCCATCTCTTCCATGAGCTTAACTGCGACCGTTCAGTGATCGATGACATGCTGGGCTCCTCTGCCGGGATCACGGACAACAACATCATGACGTACCTGACTATGGTGGAACAGAAGACCAATGAGCTCCTCACCATTCAAGCCTTCCTCAGCTCCAAGGTAGTCTGGCATCATTCTCCCGAGTGATCAGCCGCCGCCCCCCCCCCCCCCCCCCCCCCCCCCCACATTTGTCTGTTATCTCTTGCCATGTGGGTGTCTCACACAGGACATCGATAACGAATTTGATGCAAAAGATGTGGCTCTGATCCTGCTGGGTCAGGGTCCAGACATGCCATCCCAGAATGTGCTGGTCCAACCCCCTAATTCTGGGTAGGTCTAATTTCCATTCCAGCCTGTCTGCTAAGTGGTGCCTGACATGCCCACTAATGTCCCTAAAGACAAATAATCTTTCACATTCTACTCACCTGTCCAGCATGGAACCCCTTCCAGGATGTCTGTAAGAGTGTCTTTTCTATTTGGGGTTGCCAGGGATGGTTATGACACAGAAGAATCTCTCTTGACTGATGAAGATGAACGACCTCTGACCCGCCAAGAGCTCCGCCAGCGAATCATGAAGGCAGTGAGTGCCTGACATTTGTACACATGCACAATCCAAGCATATATTACACTCACCACCTTTTCTGCAGCTGCCTGACAGAAAATTTCACAGCAAAAAACAAATCTTTGGGTCATGTTTCACATACAGTGTCTTAGGCAGTCAAAGGAAACGCTTAAAGCTGCTTAGTAAGGGTATGTGCTCAGAACAAAAAACACAATGTAACATTAGAACATATGAATATTAACAGTAACAGGACAAAAACTAACAAGAATTTCTTCCGTTCTCCAAAAATTTACTGGTAACTTGCTGGACGGCCAGATGAACCTCGCTTCAGTTCCCAAACCTCTCCTAAGGGGAACCCCAGCCATTCCATGAATTTGTTACATTTCACATCATCTCAATTAATGAATCAATTTAATTAGTTAAAGAAAGTCAATGAGGTATTTATTAGCTATATGAGGTCAAAAAATACATGGGTGTATTGGATTGTTGTTGCAAATACTGGGGTAATTTTAGGAGAGATTTTGAAATGCAGACATAACATCATAGTTTTTCACCAAAATGAAGATCATTTGAGCATCATTTTCTTAGACTGCCTAAGACTTTTGCACAGTACTGTGTATCATAGTGGCTTTATTACGCAGCTCATCTTTGTTTTCCTGCTCAGTAGGGGTGTGTATCTCTCCCTCTCAGGCAATATACTATACATCAGAGTCAAAGTCAAAGTAAACTTTATTGTCATTCGGACCACACAGTTTGAGAGAGCATGGTAGAACGAAATTGCGTTTCTCCTGGCTCAATGTGCAAAACATACAAAAATACTACAGGCTACACAAAATACACACAATACAATACAGAACTACACGGAGACTACTATTCAGCACAGAGGTAAATCTCGTGCAAAGTAAATAGTGCTCAAAGTTAAAATTTGCACCCAGTCAAAATATTGCACAGAGTCAAATATTGTGATATGATATGATATGATATGATATGACACATGGGCTGCAATACAAAAAAGTTATGTAAAGATTGAAATATATGATTTGATTCAGCTCTAAATACAATATAGATCAGGGGTCTCCAACTCCGGTCCTGGAGAGCTACCATCCAGTAGGTTTTCTATCCTACTTGGCTCCTGATGAGTCACACCTGGTAGGATTGAAAACCAACTGGATAGTAGCTCTCCAGGACCGGAGTTGGAGACCCCTGATATAGATCAACTCGGCAAGTAGTGAAGTGTGCTTCCTTTGAAGTAAAAACATGTATCTATATGCAGTAATAGTGCCGCGATGGGTGTATTGGTTTGTGACTGCTTTATTGGTTATCGGCTAAGCTCTTTCTAAGTTTGAACCACATTTCTTAATCCATTCAGTACCAATTCAGTTACTTCAATTGGCAAAGTATATGTTGCAAGTTCAGTTCTTCTAAGTAGCATGTTTTACCACATCAAAGTCTCCACCATCCAGCATGAGATGTTCTGCCCACAGGTCCTGCGGAAGGACAGGGGCATCTGTTTGGCCGTAGGGAAGGAATCCAGATCCTCGAGGACCGACTTGGTGTCCAGCAGTCATCTGCGGTTTCAAGAGGCTGATGTCACCATCTCGCCCCCTCCTTGCTGAGACCAGGGTTTCCCCTCCCCACGAACCCACTGCAGAGTGCACCCAGGCCCCCCAGAGTCGTACCATCCCAGAGCAGGTCCAGGAGACCAGAAGGCTTCATTGCCATCTGTCCATTGATCATTAATCTATTACTTTTGGCAACTGTCACATGACTTGATTTGATTCATCAGACATTTACTGAAATGAGAAAAAGACAGAGGTTCCATTAGCTCATCAACATTTGTTTAGCAATCCAAGGTCAAAACAGACAAATAATACAACTAAGCCTTGGGCCAATCAGAATTCAGTGTGGTAATTATGTGTCCAAATGTGATATATTTCAACACTGCTGTTGTCATGGTGAGGACACAGTTACTACCGTGTCTCAGTGATGCGAGGCACACACTTCCCATGTGTCCTTTATAAAATAAATAGACATGGCTGCACATGTGGTGCAGTACTACTTCACAACACTAGGGGGAAATATAATCCTTGCGTGAACAAAACCTGTAGCGTTACTGAATGTTCAATAGATAGATAGATAGATAGATAGATAGATGACATTTTACTACTCCAAAAGGAAATTGTCAGATTACAGGTGGACAACACATTTACATTTGTACATTAATAGTGACAAAACATAATAACAGTAAAGCAACAATTAAAGTGTCGAATACAAATGGTGCGTTTCTTGTTATTTCAGCTTCTCTTTATGACAGATTCTTAATGCATATCTGAATAAACATATATTCTTGTCCTGCAAGTAAAAAAGAAGCAAATGAGAGGAAAGTCACACTAACACTGTAGCACTTTTGCCTCATACCTCTAGATTTTTTTCCCAGTTCCTACAGCTTCCTCTTGCCGTTAGACCAAACCTGCCTGTAGTATGTGAGCATGTGTGTTTACATGCGCTGCGACGGGCTGCCCTGCGACGGGCTTCCCTGCGACGGGCTTCCCTGCGACGGGCTGCGATGCGACGGGCTGCGATGCGACGGGCTGCGCTGCGACGGGCTGGCACCCCATCTGGGGTGACTCTATGCTGGGGGCTTTGGGCCCTGTGCTGCCTGAGAGAGGCTCCAGGGCCCCCAGCAGCCATGTCATAATAAATGTAATTAGCACAGGAAGTACAGGCCAGTTAGATTTGTTACAGGATAATAGGACAATGACCTTTCCAGTGTGTCACTGTTCAGGTGTGCTGTCACATGCTAGTCCAATTCCACTATACTTATACCACCCTTTGCATGCTGCTGTATTTATTGTTTACATAGAAATTGCACGTATACAGACCATTATGCATAGCTCCCTGTTTTAGGCTCTCCTATGTTCTATCTCCCTCTATCACTTACTCTTTATTGCTACTCTTTGTATGTTGCACTGTGGTCCTGGGGGAATGTTACTCTGTGCTACTGAACACCGGTATACGGATGGGATTACAATAAGCCCAATTGACTCGAGGTCCCAGGAGTGCGAGCAAATGGCACGGATCCCTGCAGAAATGCCATTTATGTACCTACCCGTTTCCTGCACTCCAAGCCTAGATGAAGGGTTACGCCCAACCTGCCCAGATCTGAGGTGTCACTCTCTTCCTCGTTCTGTAAGAACACATCACCATCTACGCCTCGCAGAGCTCACTTCAAATACCTGCCAGTTCCGGTTTGCCATAGCCCTGTAGGGTAACCTTAACAGGGTTCCACAATTTGATCAACCACACTGGGAAAAAACTACCAGATCACAAAGCATCAGCTGCTATTTTAAATGTCAGTTTTCTCGTGTGATTAAATCAGATTTCATTAGTAGGTAAGTAGCATACAAACTCATGCCTGAAAACGGGACTCGATGCATCCACACCTGCAAACCATTGGGAAGCCACAGTATGACACTACAGACATTGCAGGATGTTCTTCCACTTCTGCTCTACAGAGGCCCATTTCCTTCCTGTCCTGAACGGACTGGCTTCCGGAACATTCCGGTTCCACTCGTCAGTCACCTCTCGAGCAGTTCCGGGGCGGACAGTGGTCTTCAGAGGCAGCCAAGTGCATAAGGCTCAAGGTGACCCAAAGCATCCTGCAGATCCTCTCATTCCAATCCCCCTATCAAATTAACAACCATCGGTCCAGCAGCATCTGCATCTCATGCTGCAGGGTGAGCCTCAGAACTTAATTTTGGTCCAAATGAAGACCATGATTCTAAATCAGGATGTTTGTGTGTATTTTTCCAATTATAGCAGACAAGAACAAAGTAACCAGAGGAAGAAGCCCATACGAAACCAATCAGTGCTGAATAGTGGATGGTGTCTGTTTCACTGTGAAATACTCTATTAAAATAAAGACTACTGGAAAAGGACAGATAGCCCATACACTACATCTACTTACAACTTACAAAGAATTGTGTACATAGATGAAATATCTTTTATAGCTATTAAACAGAACAAAAAATGATAGAAATCTTTCGCATATGTAGGGTCCGTATGTTACAAGAAAAAACATTAAACGTGGTACAAGAAGATTTAAATTTAAGTTAAATTTCTTGATACAGACTAACAGAACTAACGTGAAAAATCAGGTAGGTATATGAATATATGTCTACGGCGCACTCTGGGTGAGTGTGGCGCATCCTGGTGTTTCTAAGTATGTATGACTGTATATTCTTTTGAAAACACCCTCATTCAAAGTACGCACATGCAGACACATAAACAATAGGGAGCGTAGCTCCTCACTTCATGCTTTCCCGAACCGGCCTTTCTCTGTGATTATAAACATGGTCTAAGACAGAAAAAGAGGGGGGAGGCAGCCGCTGAGAGAGAAACGGAGTGGGCTGGGGGGGTGGATGCCTTTGAAATTCGACCCTTATTCCACGACCCACCCCCCCACGCTCTGCCCGATCCTCTCTGCGCATGGCCCTGCTCCGTTGCCATGGAGACCCTCCCCTTAATCACAGCAGAATCTCATTTCCTCAGCTTGACGACGGCACCATGTCGCCCACGGAGGCTGTCTGAGCCATTCAGCTCACAGCCAGGCGGGTGCAGAGCTGCCCATTCGTCCTGGTGCCCCCCACTGCCGGCCCGCCCCCTCCCGCTAACCTTTTACCCCCTGTTGTTGTCGTCCTCTGCCTCACTGTCCATTTTGTCCCCTGTCCAACACCACCCGATGTTCTCCCCACTTCTCCCTCTCCCTGTCTCTCTCTCTCCACCCACTGCACTCCACATTACCCGTCTCACTGCCGTTTCTGTGTTGGCTGCACACGTCTCTCTCTACACATCTACAAAATGATTAATGGAGGAAATCACTCTGGACCAGCCTCCTTTCCTTCTCTTATCTCACTCGGACAGCGTCACTCCTGTCCTCTGGCCATTTTTGCTCCCAGTCTGCTCTCCTCTCGCTCCAACCCTCAACAGCCTTTGTCTAATCATGATACTTTCAGCCGTATTTTGCACCCCCCCCCCCCACACACACACACACACACACACACACACCCCCACACACACACACACACACACACACACTCGCTTTAACCGTGAAGGAAACCTTTACCCAGCTAATGAGGCAGCTGTTAAGCACAGCGAAGTGTGAGGCACAGTTGCAACGGCACCGAAAATCTGCAACCTGCGTATTTCCCTCAGGGTATTTTTTCTCTCTTTTGCAGGGGACGTGGTTTGGTCATGAAGGACAGCATTACATAGTACAATGTAAAGATTTAAAATTCAAAGGAAAATTACGGACAGTACATTTAATGCCATGACGGTTTGTGAATGAGGTTATAACACCTTTCAGATTAGTATTGCCTCTTTAAACGCTTTCCACCAGGATGAGATCTTTGTTGAAAATATAAGATGTGAAGAAATGGATTTTAATAGCAATCATTAAGACTTCAGTTAACTGTACATGTGTTTGGTGTTTTTCTCTGTCTCTCTCTCTCCAGCAGTCTCTGTGTTTGTACAGGCACTGTGCCTGGTATTTTCCAGCCGCGGCTGTGGTTCCAGACTGCAGCCTCCTCCTTACAGCCACACACACACACACAGACACACACATACACACATGCTGGTGGCCTGTTGCTAGGAAACCTCACTCATGGGCAGGCAGGTTGAGTCTGGCCAATCAGGGCAATCTGTTTACTTTCAAACAGGTAAGAGGAAAGGAGGAGTCAAGCTTCCCATTCACTTAAAGTAAGAGCTAGTTAAGCCCACCCCAAAATTTTTCAAATTATCCTCTACCGAGCCCTCCTTGTTATGCTAGGCAACATGCAGTTTCCCTTTTGCAAAAGGACAAAAATACACCCATAAAATACAGCCAATTCTACAAGATTGAAAAACACCTCAGTGACCAAAGAAATAAGAAGTATATTCCAACATCCAATAACATCGATGGTCAGCTTTATATATATAGCAATACACCACTGGACCACTAGATGGCACTAATAGCAACACGGCTGTAGTTTGAGGCACGAGAAGCGGGAGCCTCTGTTGCTAGGCAATATACTGCAGCAATCAATTTACATTCCTCTCCTGCTGCCTTCCTCTGGCTTTCATGTATGTTCTTGTTGGTACTAGAGTTTCGCATTCAATGATGGTTTTGCTCTCGGCGGAGTTGTGGTGGTGGAGGGGGGGGGGGTTTGGATGGTGGTGGGAACAGGGTCTTCAGTGTCGATCAGATCGTGCGTGTTTGATGGGCACGGAGGAGGATCAGAGCGAGGTGATTGCCATTATCGTACCTTGGTGTCCAGGTGAGCCCAGTGACACAGGACCCAAATACAGAAAACTCATCCTCTACAAACATGGCTGCCCTGCATCTCTTTGCACATATAATGAAGCCCGTGATCCTATACTCAGTTACATGGCTGTCAATAAGGCTGAGGGAGGCTAAAGGAAAAATATACGTGTTAAGGAAAAAATATACACGGTAAGAAAAGAAGAGGTATTCACTCTGTAACTCTAGCACTATCACTGCATCCTTTACTCAGTAAATAGTTTATCTATCTATCTATCTATCTATCTATCTATCTTTCTATCTATCTATCTATCTATCTATCTATCTATCTATCTATCTCTCTACTCTTTGCACGTGCCTTAACCTGACACTGCTCTTCAGCCACCTCAGTCAGATTGCCAAGGTCATTTCCTGTTTTCCTCGATCTTTCCCTTTTCACTCTGTTCCCATCTTTTTCCGGAATGTTGGCCTGTTTTGGGTTTAGTCCTCTCTCTGAGGCGCGTCCCTGCCGTGCCCCCATCTCGCTGGCCCATTTCTGCAGTTCGTTAATAGAAACGGTTATAAAAAAAAAAACCAAAAAGGCAGTGGATTGCTTGAGATGATTAAGATTATTGATGTGTGAACATTTCCCCGAGCTTCCTGGATTTGGACTATTCAGGGCTGCCCTGGGGCGGTGGGTCGGAGAATGTCGGAGAATGTTGGGGTTCCATTCCGAATGAATTCGTCAGTGAAAAACAAAAAGACAAGAAGAAACTCCATGGGGTTAAACTGTCACCCGGTTACTGTGTGGAGCTCCAGAAACAGGTGAGGCTGGGAGATGTTTGGGAGAACCTGGGATTGTTGGGAGGCGAGCTTGCAGACTCCAGCCCTCCTTCTCTCCTTCTGCTGATCCCTTTCGTTGCCCCCTCCCTCCCTCCCCCACCCTGGAGCCTCTCCACCACATGGGTTACTATGCAGATGGCTCTTTGTTGACTCAT